TCTTAGTCTTCCATATATATAGCTATACAAGTCAGTTTGTGTGGCATAGTCCCTGGACACATGTACCACCTTGAGAAAAAATAGGGTCCTTTCCATCTCAATCATGCAAGTTTCTGAGAGGTCACCGGCAAAAAACACAATGTTTCCTCCCAATAGCCTGTTTGAGTTGTTTATTCCCAACCTGCCAGGTGAGGGTGATAGATTTTATCAGAGCTGTCCCGGTCATCCTCCGCTCCTCCTCCTCCTCCTCCTCCTCCTCCTCCGTGTCCTCCTCAACCGCAAGTGCTAGATCACAGTGGGCACCACCTGACCTCAATCGCGAGCGCTAGATGGCAGCGGGCACCACAGGACCTTAACCGCGAGTGCTAGAGTGCTAGATCGCAGTGGGCACCGCCGGACCTCATGCAACTGTGAGCGCTGGATTGCAGTGGGCACCACGGGCCTCAACAGATAGAATGCAAGATAGACTGCCAAAATGTGTACCACAATTTTTTTGCCAGCTAGAATGTCAGAATATATGCAACGTAGAATGCAAAATGGATGGGAGCGGCAATCAGAGTGTTTCTGTTTCTAACACCTCTGGTCTGTCGCAGCATTCGCATTGAAAAGCGCTGCTGTGCTACATAGTGTCTTTAGAGCAGGTTGCACAACCCCAAAGGGTGAATTGTTTTCCTTTCCATCAACGGTTTGTGGCTGGGGTTGCTACCTGGGTCCTGACGGGGGTAATAACACTTTGGCACATGCATTCCACTTGCATTTCTTTCAGTGTTGGCGTGGCATAGATAAATTTCTGTCATTATGAGTGCAGACCCCTGGTGTGGCAGGCGCCCTGTGCCCTTCATACAAGTCAGGCAGTTTATCCTGAGAAAAGCTTGACTTTGCACATTCATGCACACTCCACGACACGGGCCATCGGCAAGTTGACCATCCCCAAAGAGAAAAAGAACTTTTGCTTTTGGGGTTTCATGTTTTGTGTATGCACTGGTCTCAGATGTCGTGAAAGTGCACTGGCCCAAGTGCCGGGGCGATGCGGGGTCCAGGGCAGTTGAATATTTTGTTGGATCTTTTGGGTCACTTCCCACTTTGGAAGCACTTGGTCCAAGAACCTGCTGAACATGTCCATCATGACCCATCAACACCAAGGCTTCGGATCAGTGCAATGGATCCACTAGGAGCGCCCGAGTCCCGAACCAATCGGGCATCGATTTCTCGACTTCCAAGTCGTGTTGGCTTAGTCGCAATCGATTCCAAACTGTTTGTTCCGACCGTTGCACTGCCCTCAAGACCGATTGCGTTTCTCGACATCAGTTCGTTCGTGTTGCCGTGCCGAGGCCTGATGAAGGCACCTTAACTTGAAAGATCCCATCATTGACGACCCTGCAAAACAGAGCCCAAGCGTTGGTAGCCGATCAAGTCAAACGAAAAATTCATCTGCGCCACCAGCCGCAATGCTGCTGCAAGATGCACTTGGAGGGACGCGAGGTAGGTAAAGTGGAGTGGCTCAATTTGTGGGACCGGAGTCTGTATAATATGATGCATTATGTTGCACTTGGAGTGCTGCTTCGCGATTCCACGGGGGGGCGAAAGATATGCAGCCGGCGCCAGAAACCCAGCTTTCTAGCCAAGGATGGCTCAACTCGAAGGTTCCAGGTCGCTCGGGCTCATCCGAAAGGTGGGAAAGGTGGGAGTGAACAGACAGAACAGCAAACAACCCTGTTATGGGGCCTGGTCATACCATCCAATCAGCAGTCTCATATACATTTGCACGGCATATAGTGCAATCACAGTCAAGTACGTAAACACGTGCCACGCCACACAACCCTTCGGAAGGTACACTCCTGAGATTGGTCGCCACTACCTCGACCGCTATCGGGACCGGGTTTGGGAGAGAAGAGTTTGGGGCGGCCCGGTGTGACTGGTGCGATTGCGTTGTCGGAATGTTCAATCAAGAGATGCACCCAAATTAGAAAAAATTGTTGGTGCGTGGCGTCATGCGTCAGACTTACCCGTGATCCCGTAATTTTTTGGCTGACATGCGTTGAAAAACACAGATACCCATCTCGGGCGAAAGAGAGTTCACATATAGTTCACATATGATCCGTAAAGGATGAGGTGTGCTACGGCTATGTTGCACAGGGTAGTGAACTGAGTGGCCACCAGTCAAGCGTCCCCTTTCTCCAGGAAGAGAACAAAGCCTCCATCAAACAGGCCTCTTGGATGGAAGGTTTCCTCCAAGTGGTGCGTGCGGCCGTCCCAACGTTGATTGGAAAGTCCAGATCATTGTGAACATGTTCCATCCAGTCGTTCCATCGTAGTGGAGTGATCGGTCAGTCGATGAGTGGATGAATGGTAACATGATGAGACCTTGCAAAATCATAGCCCCCCCCGGCCCCCCCCCACTTCTGGATGATTTGATCGGATTCCCTGATGGAAGACCTCGATGAATCGCGCGCTCGATCCGCCAGCCCTGGGGACCGCCGACTGGGAGCTGGTTTCCGACCCCGTGGAACGCGAACTGGACGGTGCTGTGGATGTTGGTGGGAAACGAGTCGGGCCGTGATTGGATCTTCCTAAGATCAACTGGCGCGTTGCTGATTTTGAAGAGGTTTTACAGCTTAAGAGAACCAATTGTTGGGGGCAACCATGGAAAACCCATGGAAAAGCACATGAAACAATCATTTTAAGGTGCTTGGCACTGGGTCTCAAATGGCTGTCAAAAGGCGTTCAGTCTCATCGATGTTGTTTTTGGTCGAAACTTTTGCGGATGATCCTTCATTCGTAGCAGCAACCAAGTCCTGGCGCATTTGATGTTGCATCCGCTCGTTTCGTTCACTGAGTGATGAACCGCCTCAAGGCAACAGATGCCATGTTGCGACGAATGCTCGTTTGTTTAGTTTCAACAGTCTTTGGGTTCTGTTTTGAAGGGACTCCGGGTAAGGCAGACTCTTGATTCATAAAAACTCACCATTTGGATTGAAACCTCTTCATATGATCATATGGGGAACAATGGGGGGTTTGATGAATCAAGAGTCTACATTCCCTGCTGGTTTTTGAAGGTTATGGAGCTTCCCCAGCAGACACCTTGAAGAGGCCTTTTCACACCTGCCTTCATCAGTCGTTGGACGTCTTTTGGGAGGGTGGGTCATCCCACGTGGTGGCCAGGACATCCATGGACACAAAAATAGGACGCGTTGTGGTTGTTGTTGTGGTTCTTGTGGTTGTGGTTGTGGTTGTTGTCGTCGTCGTCGTTGTTGTTGTCGTCGTCGTCGTTGTTGTTGTACTCAGATGCTCAATTTTGAGTGTGTCTTTTGAGTCAAACGCCTTGTAACTGTTCGATTTCTTCTTCAACTACATCTCGCCATAGCCTTGTACATGTTTGCCTCTACTTACCCATTCCCAGACAGCCCGGCAGAACGCATGAGAACTGCAGGGAGAACTGCTGGACTACTACGAAAGCCTGGCCGCCCCTTAGTGAAAGCCGGAGCAGATCCGTCGTCAGATCCGTCGGAGCGAAGAAGAGCGAAAAGGTCGCGCGAGAGCGTCGGGCGCGGCTTGGGTGACGACCATGTTTTTTCGTCGAACAAAGTCAGTTCACGAAAGACAGGAATTGTGCAGAAAGTGGAGATGAGATGTTGGAATCCAGAACATGCAAGAAGGTATAAAGTAGTAGTTATAGTTTCTATGACTACTACTTTACAACTTCTTGCATGTTCATGTATATACCAGATTTGTTCTGACTTTGTCTTGTTGTTTAATCAACACACTGTGTGAAGTGAAGATAGTGGTCTTCACAAACTCACCCGATCTTTCGTGGTGGTCGTTGCATACCAATTCTCCAAGTCGGACAATGAGGGAGCTCTTCTTGCTTTCGTGCTCGCACGACGTGGGTTGTTCCACGAGAGGTATGTATACCAGGACCCCCTGTTTGGGGTGCTTAATGGACACTCCGAATCACCTCTAAGGGGCTATCATTAGACACCCCGAAATGGGGGTCCTGGTACAAGATCACGATCGACCAGTAGAAGGGCTCATCTCAGCCACTCGAATCCATGGGAGGCGCCCACCGCCCGCTCGCCTTCCAGGTGTCCAGATGTCGGACCCCACCGACCGCAAAGCCGCATCCGGACCGGAAGAATCCGACACAACAACCCTGAACAACAACATGAAATACATATAAAACAATATATTCACATTATTCCAGTGTAGGCAAAGATTCCATGCATGACTTGGTAGGGAACATTGGGGAACAACTAGTGTCAATGTTCGATTTTGCCATAGCGGATCATCGGGCACGAAGATTCGTTCGTTGTTCCGGTGTGTTTCGTGTCAGATCGATCAAGAACGGTGTTTAGATGTGTTTATTGTTCATAGCAGGGAATCACCCAGATCTTTTTCAACCATTTACACCCTGAATGTTCTGCAAGACTTGAATTGGGATCCAACAATGAGATGGTCAACTGCTAAGCCTTGCACACGCACACCTTGGACCTGGTGTGTGTGTGTGTTTTTTCTTTTTGTTCGCCAGCCTCAAGGTCGAAGACCTGCTGGAAACATGAAATGACAAGAGTCTCATGCAGATGTTCCAGAAAGCCCAGAAATAGAGATGTAATGTAATTATATATTAATATATAGAATATAGAGATGTTCGATGTTCTTCCTTACGTGTCAACAAAATTGTTCCGACCCCAAGAAGTCAAGATGACCTCCAAGTTGCAGCAAGACACAGAGTCCTTGGGGAAGAAACTTCGTGGGCACTTCCATCAGAATGCAGTCTTGGAAGTTCTCAGGTTTGGCATCAGGCCGAGTATCAAGCTGGTTAGGCAAGGTTGTGGCATTCAGATGATATCATATTCTCAGAGCTTAGAAAATCACAGCCAAGTGCCCCCCAGGCACCCCGTCATGACCTGTCCCTGTTGGGCATTCAAAAGATGTAGAACTCCTCAACCTGCATCAAGCGCTACCGCCCTGGGATGGATGTGGCGTAAAGATGCCACTGGAACATGCCGCGGGAGGTGTCAGGGTGCCCAACAGCGGAAAGTTTGGGCACCAGTTTATGTTTATAAAATGGTCAGTTAGGTGAATTAGACTGGTGAATTAGGTGATATGCAGATGAATTAGATAGTTAGTTCCTAGTGAATCCAGACCGATCCGAATAAGATGGTGGCTCGTCGTTAGGTTGGTTGATTTGGTTCGCATCGTGACATGTTCATACCAAGAGAGGTTCAGTGACCTTATAAAAGAACCCGTCACCTGGGGTACCCAACTGGAATAGTCTATAGGCCTATAGGTTTTTTTCAGCTTTTGTTGGTATCCATTGGATCCAGATCCATGGGATCCACCGGTGTGTGGTGCTTCAAGCTTGGAGACCTAGGAGACCGGACGGACTAGCTGGATGCGCTAGGTCCGGCCTATGGCCTCATGAGCTGTAGATATGCTGTACGTATGTGCTGGTAATCGTTTCAAATGAGATGTTGAATTCATAGTGCAGATTACGAGTACATGCTGTCCGAGCTTTACATGGTTTGCGTGCGAATGTCGGACATGCTATTCGTGTTTTAGAGCCTTTGTGTAAGCTTGCGCATGTGTCGAGGTTGGCGCAGGCTTGGGGTGTAGGCACGAAAGAGACTGGTGCCCTTTTGACCGACAAGCATCAGAAGCTGGAGAGATCTGCAGAGCCTGTCTCTATTCTCGACTGATTCTGATCCAGGAGGTGCACACCCCAAGAAAGGTATTCCGCTGACAGCGGCAGGTCCTCCAAGTCTTCCCCAAGAGCTTGGACGCTGAAAAACACCCTGCGAACTGGTGGTCCGTTGTGGCTGCAAGCATAGCCTGACAATGACGCAACAAGCATTCGCATTCAACAAAGAATATTATCACAACAAAAAGACCCTTCACTATACTCTTCACTATATATATAATATACACTTATACTGTAATACCCAGCCTCCGTAAAAAATGCTTTACCAATACACACACACACTGAAGCATGTCTCCGGTGGCTTGCCACCCAACCACCATGTCTTCGGGCGCTGTTCAGCACCAACGACCGCCTAAACCAAGGTCGTCATCGGTGAGAGCCGTGGTGCGGGTGAGGCCTTTGCTCCCGCGCGGGCACTTGGAGAGTGGCGCGGGCACGGACGAGCTTTCGGATACCAGGGAGGGATTCCAGCAGGAGGGATCCCAGCAGTTTGATGCTTGAACAGGGAAGGATCCGAGTGGGTATGTCACTTGAAGGACAGTTATGCCTCAGTCACTAGACAGTAGTATAATCTATTCAATATGTGTATTTTTTTGTGTGGTAATAGTTCAGTTCCATCTGTTGTGGATGAGTTTTTAGCGTTTTGGAATTGGTCTAAGAAGATCGTTCAACGATCCTGAGCAAACAACTGTTTTTGGAATCTGCGCCAGGGGAAGGGTTGGAAACACTGGTGGAAGTAACTCTCCAGAAGTAGTGAGCTGGGAGATTGTTTCAGATATTTGTATTGTCAATTGTCAACCTTTACTTGCATTGTTTGTTTGTGAGTTGAACCACCAGCCGGTGAGGCAATAAATAGACAAGCAAAAGTGTTCCCTTGCGGGGTAATCAATGGACATCTTTTGCCACCAATTGACACCCCAGTTTTCTGGTTGGTATAGGTTTGTGGTCAAATTCCGAGATCCAAGATCCTGGAATCGAAAGCAACCATCGTCCCTGGAAGATCATCACTTCGACCAAGCCTATGGACCCCCCGACCGGGTTTTCCAAACGCGGCCGGCACACGGACATGTCCAGTGACTGGCCCCTGTCCTAGACCACCTGGGAAAGGCCAACCTAGCAACCCTGGCCAGCTTTTCGTATGGAAGTGGTTGACCCCGCCAAGAACTTGCCCAAACGATCTATGTAGGTTCCAGGTCACCAACATCCACCCAAAACCAAAACAACATGATAGGCCATTATTTGCTGACATGAGAACATGAGACGTCTCAGACGCCTGCCGCGGAGCTTGGTCGACATGAGATCCATCAACATCATGCCGGCCTTGGGTCCTGGCATCCGGGAACCCTGGTTGACCTCACAGAACCCATGAATAGAATGGACGACGAAATAGAGGAGGGTCAACCTACCAGAATCCCAATGTCCCACTGAAAATTGGAGGCCCCAAGGGGGCCTCAGGGAGGCCCCACCAAGCGCCTCAAGGAGGTGGTTCACCAACCGACCAGGTTCGAAGTGGACGCTGGCCATGAGAGTTGCTGTCAGGCCAGGGTGACCCGGCGCTGGAGCTGAACCTGTCGAGACGTGAGTTCCCCCCAGCCGTCTCGGTCGCCTTTCGCTGGGGTTCACCCCCCTAAAGGGGCCCTGAAGGGGGCAGAGGAGTTGAAACCCTTAAGGTTTGTGATGGGGCATAGGATTTTGATTCATTATCCACCCCGCAATAAGAGGTTGTTCAATTCAAGCGGGTGGGATTCCGGAGCCCGCCGGGCAATATCCTGGCACATATCAATCGACTAGACAAAGCGGCACGGGACCGAGGCTGTGATGCCTACCAAGTGCGAGTCGCTGCTCTGAGGCTCCGAGACAAAGCCCAAATGGTGGTCGACACGATGTCAGACATGTGTGTCAGTTCGGGCACCCAAATGACGGCATTGAAAAAGCTCCATGCCGCGTCAATTGACAGGCAGACATGGTCCCAAAGCGATGCTTTAGATGAACACTGGTGGCCGCAAATCAAGCTCAGGGGACCTTGAATACGCTGGCGGCTTCGACCAAGGTCGAGCCAGCTGTTGAGCCAGCTGAGGGGGCCGTAAAGTTTGACAATGCTGTCATGGGCGTGCTGAAGACTGTGTTCCGTAAGGTGCCGGTGCATCAAGTCTATGCTGTCATGGTTCGAATGGGCAATGCTGCTGACACTCGAGATGTCCTTGCTGAAAGCTATAAGGTCATGTCTGCGCATCTCAACAACTCGCTGTCTTTCACAGACGAAAGCGGGGATGTGACCGACACCCTGCGCAAGAAGAGCGGCAGCTCTACTGGCTTTGCAGTGGGTGCTAGCCGGTACCCTGATTTGAGTGAGGTTGCCAAGCAAGAAGACCTAGATCTCTTGGAAGCTGGTGACTATGTGGAGAGTTTGATCCAGCGGCTGGTGAAAGGCGAAAACCCGTCCAGCGTGCTAGACCCAGCATCAGATGTCGTACGGGCTAGCCTGAAGATGGATTGTTATGCCTTCGACAAAGTCCATGGATCCGAAGAAGCATTGGGGTCACGCCTGATCTTCTCATCGTGCTGGATCCGGAACAGCATCCTGAGGGGGTTATTCGCCAAAATCGCGCCTTCCGCGATTCAAGCTGGACTTTCCTTCAATGGAGTTGAGATCTTGCGTGAGATGGACTCCACTGATGTAGTTGCCTCGCCTGCTGGACCAAGGTTCAAGCTGGTTGTTGTCAATGGACAGCCACTCAGCGGACTCCTCGGAACAAACTTCTTAGTGTGGAGTTTGCGGGGAGTTGAGAAGGGCATTTGTGAAGCCGTCCTTGCCGTGGCAGGGGATTCAGTCTACGCTGTCTTCAAAGGGGCGGCTAGCGGCAAGACGCGACAGGCACGAGCCGCAAGGTTGGCTGGAATTATGGTCAGCAGTGGAAAGGAAGAGTGGGTCGCCCTTGGTCAAGCCGCAATTGCTGACTGGCTGGTTTCCATGATGAGTGAGATCACGCCCGGGGACGGGGAAGACGAGAAACCCGCTTTGTTCGCTACCTCTGAGCGGGAACTCGAGGGGAGCAAAACTGATGATCCTGTCCCTGTGCCGACACCCTATGGCTTGTCCGATGACATGGTGGATTTCCTGAAGTCAGAACCGGTCTCTGTGTTCGTCTCGGACACAAAACGCAGTGACTTGGTAATCAGCAATATGGCCCGCTACTTCGGGGACCTGCTGACATTGGCAGCGGGCGCCTGCCCCAGGTCGTCCAAAAGCAAAGTGACAGCGGTCATCTACTCCGCCATGAGAGATCTCTGCAGACCCCTGGTGGCCTTCCCAGGCGCCCGTGCCATTCACAGGGCAGACATATTGGCAAGTGGCTCATATATTCATGATGTGCTGACAATGCTTGCCACAGCTGCCATCATTACGTGCCCAGACCAGTTATAGAATGGGCAACATCCTTGAGCGAATTGTTGCCCCAAAAGGTTCCGGAAGGACGTGGCTTCCAAGAAGAAGATGGGTTTTTGGGCGACTGGCGATTTTTGGGGTTGAAATTCGTCTTGTTTGAGGAGCTGGAGGCCGGAGCGCTAGCCTCAAAAGGCTCATTCTTCCTGCCAGGTGGCAGCAAAGCCACTATTGTTCCCCACGCTCGATCACTCGCGACTGCTGTCGCTTCTGACAAGGAGCAGGGCCACCGGTTCGGATTCAGCAGAAGATACAAGAATGCAAAGGACAATTTTGTTCTTGCTCCTCGGGGGCTATCTGGAGTGTGACCTGAGAGCCATGGGTGTGTCCTCGCTCCAACTCCAGCGAGGTGCTGAACTTCCGGCCGCGGTGCTGGATGCGGTCCAAGAGGAATATGCGCTCGCCTCCTTCATGTCAGCTGATGAACTGAGAGATGCAGTCAAGGCAGAGCGCCGTACTTCACTCCGGGCCTTCGTGTCAAATCCATCGCTAGCGAACTTCATCGCTTATACCCATCCCTCAGCCTTTGCGCCTGGAGATGTGGCTTTCTTCAATTCTTTGAAACTGGTCCCTGAGTAGGTGCGTTGAATGTATGGTAGTTTCCTTAAGGTCAAATTGTATCTAAAATCCAAGAGCTTTGGTTAGAGTATGAATTCTACGTTCAGGAGCTTTGATTGGAGTATGAATGGGCCAGTTTTGAATGGTGTAGACATCGCACTCGCAGTGCTGTCATAGGACACAGCATCGTGGGTTCACTCAAGCTCATGGTTCTTTGGTTCTTTAGAAGATTTATAATATACACTGTGCAATGGTCAGAATCATCTCCGGGCAGCTTTGTCCTGGTTGGTCTAGGGGTGACACACGCTTCCTTGTCCTTGCCAATGATCATTGGTTTGCAGTCCATGTGGTAGGGCACAATTACGGATTTAATATCTATGTCCATGGTTTCCCTTTTGTGGGACCTGATGCCATCAATGCATTCATTCATGCTGTCACGACCTTTCTGGGAATACAGGTGACTATTGTCCGTGTCTTCTTCCAAGGGACGTTGTGCCCTTGGCACATGTGCGGGTTCGTGATGCTGCGTGAGTTGTTTCGTACCAGTGGTTTGCCAGCATGGCCCACGTGTGATGCTGCGGTCCGTTACTTACAGGCACATCGTGAGCATGAGAGAATTGAGTCCCTGGGCCACAGTGCAGTTCAGGCATGGAGCCTTGCCACAGACGACCAAGAACTCATCATGTTTGCATTCACTGTTCGTGCTTTGTTTCTGAGTGATCTTCTGCAATACCGATACACCGTTGCGCACGAGACAGGGGGAACCTTACCCACCACACAAGCGATTGGGCATTCACACATATCCTCGCGAACACGTGATTTCTTGGCGAACGCAGCCCGGGTTCACAGACCAGTCCATGGAATCTGTAGGTGCCACACACGTGGATTTTCGGCACAAGCCATTGTCAAGTCCTACATCCAAGATTGGGGAACTGACGTCCTAGCTTCGTGTGCTATTGTAGCTCCAACGCACAATCTGCCTGATAAGGTGGGCGATCTCTTCTGTGGGTGGCCAGAGTGTGGACACACAAAGACTCACTTTGCTCATTTGCTATTGGCCAAAGAAGTTTGGGAAACATTTCAACCTCAGCAAACAGTCCTTTTGACCGAGGTCAAGCTATTGTGGACAGAAGGAGTGCCAGTTGTGGACCTCAGATCGCCACAGTCCGGCATTACACCAATCTCACTGCAGAGGGACGTGGAGGCTAGCCCGATCAGAGTGGGAGAATTTTTTGCCGGGGGCTTCTCTGGCTGGTCGTTCGCTTTGAAAGCTTTGCAGGAGTTCCACCTCCCACTCCATCAGGCATTTGCTGTGGAGAATGACCTAGTCATGGCCCGCAACCATGCACTGAATCATGCCGCACAGGCCGTGATTACAGACCCCAAACAGGCCAAAACCGGGGGTGCCCATGGCGTCTGAGCCCATGACCATCCGAGCCAATGTCGTCGAACACAGTTGGTGGCACTACCTGGTCAAGCCCATCGATCTATTGCTGGCTTCACCTCCTTGCCAGCCTTGGAGTAAGGCAGGATCAGAACAAGGCCTTGAGTCTGCTGACGGAAGGCTCATTGTCCTAATGATGCTCCAGTGCGCAGTCCTCCAACCTGCTGTCATATGTATGGAGGAAGTTTCGGCAGTGCTCACGACTTCATGACCTGGGCAGGATATAATCTAGCATGGTGCCAGGCAGTCCAGCTGTCGGAGGTATTACCTCACTCCAGGAACCGACTCCTGTTGATTGCAGTTAGGAGAGATGACGCACGAGTCGCCCAAATTGCCCCTGCCATGTGGGTACCAAAGCCAGAACGGCCGAGACTAGCCGAAGTTCTCCTCCCACAGGGACATGAGAGTCACCAGTATGCACCCGGACTCGACGCGGAAACCTTTTCACAGTACTTTCGTCTCCCGCTGCTCCCACGGCAGACCGGCACGTCTCAGCATGAGGTTAGAAGATGCCGAGTCCGAACCTATGATGACATCCACCCGTGTATCATGGCCAACTATGGATACGCACATGAATTGCCGGAGCAAGTTCTCCGCACTGGTGGACTGCTAGGCTCATTTGTCCTTTGCCAGGGTCAAATCCGATGGCTGTCTCCAGTAGAAATAACGATCTTGTTCGGCTGTCCATCACGATGCCATATCCCATGTGACCCGCACATAACAAACCACATGATGGGCAACGCCATCGCGGTGCCTCACGCCGTCCTGTGTTTGCTCAATGGCTTGGCGCAGCTAGCGCACATCAGGTGGAATGAGGTCCCGCTGTGGATGTTGGATGAAATCTTGGGGAGCAGGATCACCCGACAGTCAGCCTAACCACTGACACCGAGTCGCAAACTCTGATCATCGATAAATCAGAAGTTTCCCCCACACTCAGCTGGGAAGAGCAATCCGTGGCAGTGCATGCGCTACGTATTTCTTATGAGTCCCTGTCTTGTATCATTCACGTAGATGCTACACTGCCAGCCTGGGAAGTACTAAGGGCCTTGTTCCGACTGCCCTCCAATGCAAGTCCCCGGCGGAAGCCACGAGGTG